TCCACAGAACCTACTGCCTTGTAGGAAGTGGAGGGATCCACAGAACCTACTGCCTTGTAGGAAGTGGAGGGATCCACAGAACCTACTGCCTTGTAGGAAGTGGAGGGATCCACAGAACCTACTGCCTCGTAGGAAGTGAAGGAAAGGCTAAGGAACCTTACCTAAAAATTAAGGCAGCTACCTAGAGAGCTGTAAGGGGCAGCCCCCAGATGGTTGTGCGCCATCTGACAACCTGCCTATGTACAAAAATAAAAGTTATGAAAGCCAAACCACAAACTAAAACCCAAACTGATTCTAATGGAAATCGACCTATGGCTGGAGACGGACATGATTTTTGATTGGATTGCAACTTTGGCATGTACTAAGCCTGTCTGGAGCAGGAGCCTTAGCCAACCTAATAGATCAATTAGTTAAATATAAAATCTCTGGTGCTGCATTGCAAGAAATTCAATGGAAAAATGCAGACATCCTCAAGACAAAAGACTACACAATATTTTATAGCGGCAACAACACTAACACTCTTGGCACAGAATTTGCTTTGAAGAAAGGAGCCCTCGGTGCAGTTATAGGTTTTAAATAAGAGAACGAAAGATTAAGCTTTTTGCGTGTGCGAGAGAAAATGTTTAAATATAAAATTTATGAATGTTCATGCTCCCACCGAAGATACATAAAGTCAGATAAAAAAAAAAAGAATCCTTTTATGAGATTCTGGAAAAAATCTATGACGAGGCACCATGACATGATATGAAAATAGTGACTGGCGACTTTAATGGCAAAATAGGGAGAGAAAATGTGTTAATGCCAACTATTGGCAAGGAGAGTCCAATGACAATGTGTTCCGACTCATAGACTTTGCTTCAGGGAAAGGGATGACAGCAGCATTAAGTTTTCACATCAAAATATACATAGCTACTTGGAACTCACCAGATGGAATCACTCACAATCAAATTGACCTTGTTGTAATCGATCGGAGGCATGGATCAGAAATACTAGATTTAAGAAGCTATCAAGAAGCAGATAGAGAGTCTGACCATATACTTGTAAGGGTTAAATATTAGCAGAGAATAAGCAAAATACACAATGGCCGAAATCAAAGAGAGAAACGATATGATTACCAAAGACCCATTAACCGCAAAAGCTTATCAAAATAAAGTAGAAGCACAGCTAGAAGCATCACAGGAGGCAATTAAAAGGGAAAACAACATAAATGAACAGTGAGATAGGATAAAAAATGCTATGAAAAGATCATCAGAAAAAGCAGTAGGCATTCAACCAACAGTAGAGAAATAGTCGACTGGATATTCTGAGGGAATATTAAATGCAAACATTAGTAGACAAGTTGAAGATTATCAACCACCACATTAAGAATAAAGTTCAACACCTAAAACAAACACCTGTCACTCTGACACAAACAGGCCGGTAGGGATAACACATAATAGTAACACATAACACGTAGCGGTAGTGGAATCAAAATTGTTCTGCATAGCTACATGCCCCCCCCCCCATCCCTTTGCCGCTTCACGTCTCGTGTCTTTCGCCATATATTTACATATAAGATCTATGGCTGGGACACTGGTGGAGGGGGGACAGTGCAGCCATCACACGAGCCCATAACACTACTGGCACTGGCAACACAGCTAGCCAAAATATTATTTGAATTTATATTATAAATTAGGACGTTTTAGTGATTAGAAAATGTGTTGGGTTTAAAAAACGGGACATTTTGGCATCCTGAGAGACTTTTTTGGGACAACAGGTATGATCGTGAAAAAACGGGACAATCTGTTTTTTACGGGATGTTTGGTCACCCTCCACTACATGAATGAAATATAATAAATCCATGTAAGGAATGAATGCTGAGCCAAACCTCTACAATCTACAAGTTACCACACTTTCTCAAAAACAATACTTGTTAATAATGCTACCTCTAAGTGTGTCACTGTATCCCCTGGCTGTGTCCAAGGTGGCCCTGTCCCGGTCCAAAGCCAACCGAGGAGCGTCGGAGGACTTGGGTTCACTGGATTGTCCATGTCCATAATCTATAACCTCAGCAGGCTGGTATGCTGTGGTGTCAAGAACATTTTTGTTTTAATTCTCTACCATGTATGAAAAAAAAAAAACAAAAAAAAAAAAAAAACAAAAAACAAGTAATTTATTATAACATCTCAATAAAGGAGGACTTGGGTTCACTGGATTGGCCATTTCAATAATCTAAAACCTCAGCAGGCTGGTATGCTGTGGTGTCAAAAACATTTTTGTTTTAATTCTCTACCATGAATGAAAAAAAAAAAACAAAAAAAAAAAACAAACAAAAAACAAGTTATTTATTATAACAGCTCAATAACTGCCAGCTGTGCATCTCTTATGTGCAGCCAGCATCCTCAATAATTTATGGGAGGCCCTAAAGAGACCCAGTGTCTTGGCCAGTGTATTTAAAAAATAAAATGGTTAAACTTCTACCGATAGTCATGAGGGTTACGATTACTTGTAAATATTGATTGGTGTTGTTCACCTAGCGCTGCCCTTAGCTCCAAACAGAATTTCTAGACTTAATCATTATATTTACAACTACACTTTTATAGTAGTTTAATTCAAACATACAAGCACATCGTTTCACATACATTTCTTTTCTTTGTCGACACCACCGTGCCCATAATCAATACTTTCTGCAGGGACAAATGGCTTTCTTTCCAACAGTGGGTCGAATCTCGAAGGTAGACCGGCAAATCTAAATTTGATGGACGGTAAACAATACAATGAAATCTACATGAACAGGAAAAATCAAATAGTTATTTGTCTCTGTTGGCTCAGCTGGCAACATTTCGGTTAAGGCAAAAAGTGTGAGGAAATATTTTGTTCAATTATTTAGGTGCAGCTATTGCATGAAATACTTGAATTTGACAATTTTTATCCTTTTTAAATAAGCGGTTAAATTTTATGAATGGAAAAGAGCTCTCACCTATCATATCCTAATCTGTCATATCCATATTTGGCCAGAGGAGGATCTAAGTAAGGATCCCGGTAGTAAGGGTCATATCGAAGATAGGGGTCACCATAAGGATCCCCATATGGATCTCGAGGATAGGGTAGATATGGCTGAAAATGTATTACAAAATTAAATATTTCACAATTGTACAACAAGACACTATTTAATTATAAGTAATTTATCTTTAATTATTAACAGTCAACTAGCAGTATAGCAACTTTATTGAAATAGTACAAAGACATTATATAAATGTACACATTCAAATAGTGAAACATCTGTTATACGAGAAAAAACAAAAGATTATTGAGCGCCAGGTTTTAATGAGCCCTAAACCACTCAAGTCACTTACCTTCTTACCAATCCTATCGTCATTGTCAATGCCAGGGGCTGTAGCAAACTTTGCTCGCTTGGCGTCTGGTTCATCTTCATCTGGTATCCTGGCAGCTCCTCTTGGCCTCTCCAGCCCAGCAGAGGGCTTGGCAGCTTCAATCAGATCCTAGACAAGTTAGATTCAATGGTAAATTCATGTTTATACTTTGTCCTTTGATAACACCAGGAAGAAACATTTTAAATAAGGGAGGGTAGAAATAACGGGTTAGAAAATTATGTTTGAGCAAAAAAGATCCTGTTTTATTTCATTCTAAAACTATCCATTTAAACATTAATTTTGTTTCATTATAAGTGTGCTCCTATTTGAATTTTTCCAAAAGTCCGCAATGGGTATTAATGAAGAACTAATGAACGCAGTGCTATGTAAATAATTTCATCTTGAACAAGGGCCAGGACTGAAAGCGCGGTGAGCCCAGCCCTAGGCCGGGGTACCGCGCTATATAAGACCACTTATTATTATTATTATATAAAAATTCTTTTGTTCCACTATCTGTACGAATTTAGCAGCGTGCTCCCAATGAATTCACTGAATGGCTGTTTTTTTCACTAGTGAAATAATTTAATGTAGATGTTTTGTGTTCAAATAGTTCTATTTATGTGCTGAAAATGTACAACGTAATCAAAAAATATTTCCATTTGTTTGGATCAATAAAAGAATCATATCTTGTCTTAATTAGCTCCCCCCACCCCCGCCCCCAACGGCATGGCAATATTTGTTAACACATCCAACACTACAGCTTTAGAGTATCCATGATTTAAAAAAATTTTCCTTTGTTTTGGACAAAAAAAAAAACATATCTTTTCTTAAATAACCCCCCCCCCCCCCCCCATACTAAAAATTAATAATTTATATCAGGAATGGGTGATTGGCATATCAAGATTAAGACACAAAGTGTCTACTGTCCAGGTTGTAAGATAGTACCCTTATGACGAGCAACAATACATCGGGAGTCCCGAGACTCAAAAAGTACAGGTGCTCTAACTTATTCATCCAACACAGGCTACAAGTCTTAAAATCTTCAGCCTTGGTATTTTGAAACTGAGTTATTGATATCTATGAGAAACAGAGGAGTGATGGTTTATGTTTGTTGAGTCATGCCTGCTCAAAGCTGTTGACTTTAGATAGTAGTTAACAGACTGGCAACAGATGTCTGTTTATTGTACCTTTTCAAAGAAATCTAAATCAAAGTCCTGCTTTTTTATATTTTTTGGGGGTCAATTTTAAAATAGAAAAACTGTGGTTCTCGAAGTCAGTTTGCTTAAAATATCACGTTGATTTTGGGGTGGATGGAATTACCATTGTTATAAACATTATAAAAAGATGAGGTGTATTTTAATTATCAACATTGAAAATGAGTCGTGGATCAACTGAACCTGAGATAAAAACAAACGTAAAACAGAAGTGCGATCAGCTATTATAAGAAGTATAACCCCAGTTTTTGTACGGGCACAAGAGAAGACTTTGGTTCTTTCCGGCTTTTACATTTGATCATAGCAACAAACTTCTTCATTTGATAGATGGGGCTTAGTGGAGTGATACTTTCTGTTTTCCCAATGTCTGCTTCACAATTACTTATTAGGACTCCAGTATCTTCTCCTTTAGAACTTTGGATTCAAATGATAGGATTCCTTTTCTTGTTAATAAATCATGCACTTGGTATTTGACTGCATATTTTTTCGGCCTCGTTCTATTTGCTTTACTTTGATTGCTCTAAATCCATTTCACATTCCATGTTTACATAAGCACTTGCGATGAATCAAACAAACAAGCTGGAAAGAACCAAAATCTTCTCTTGTGCCCGTACAAGTGTGTTTAATGTATATTTAAATATCCAGTACTAGAATAAGTTACATAACTTAGTAAGGTTTAGCAGACCTGCCTACAAGTTTACTGAAACCAACATTTAACTGAATGTACAGAATGAATATGTTGACCTAATGTTTTCAACACACATGACCTTATGTTAGATGCTTTTTCTAGTTTTTGCAAAAATATAAAATGATTTCATTTTCATTGCCCCTAATCACTGTCAAGTGGGAAATAAAATTTTAGATTTCATGAACGAAAGACTAAAATTTCATTAAGAATAAGTCATCTTAAATAATTTTAATTTCTTTTATATCAACTTACCAGGCTTTGGTCTTGTCCTTCGATCACAGTGTTATCCTCTTGTTCATTATCCCAGCTGTCAAAACCAGTGCGGTTCATTCCTCGACCTCTGCCCCGACCAAAGCTTATCCCTGCGCCTCTGACACCTCTGCCTCTGGCAACAACAGCTTCTTCAGTATTGAAAGCATCATTCAAGCCATCGTAAGTGTCTAAATCAGACTCCACAAATCCTCCCCGGCCTCCTCTCATTGCACCTCTGCCCCTTCCTCTCGGCATGAAACCTTCCTCGTATTGTCCTTCATAGTCTCCCTCCACCAACTGCTGCTCACTGAATCCATCATGTCCACCCCGTCCATTTGCACCGCCGCGTCCACGAATACCCACCCCACCAGGACCCCTGGGCCCAAATCTAAAGTCCTCCGGCATGTCATCTCTGACGTTAGGGTCACTATCGAATCCTCCTCCCATGGGTCTGAACAAGCCCATCCGTTGTTCTCCACCTCTTCCTCCATCAATGGCCCCCCTCCCTCTGATCAGTCCTCTTCCCCTTTGAGCAAATTTTGATTCATTTTCAAATTCTGGATATTCATTAAAATCTTCTGGTCCCGAAAACTCCTGGTATCCTCTACCCCGCCCCCTGACTGCACCCCGTCCTCTGCCCCTTGTGGATTCAACAAAGCCCATATCATCCCTTGGATACCCAGCAGCGTCTCCATTTTCATCTTCATATCCAGGCTCCTCTAACTGCTCAAAGTCTGCAAATTTGCCCTTCATTTTCTCATCAAAACTGACATCAAATAATGAAGGTGGTTGCCCCCTACCCCTCCCCCTGAGAGGGAACCCACCCCTACCTCTCGGTGGCACATCATCGAGCTCAGAAAACTCTGAACTAGGCAGACCTTCTGAAAACATTCCCCCCCTCCCTCTCGGATAATTAACTCCTCGCCCTCTCTGAAAGTCCCCTCTTCCTCTCTGAAAGTCCCCTCTTCCTCTCAAAAATTCCCCTCCCCTTCCTCGCTCAAACTCATTTCCCATACCTCTTTGAAAGTCAGCTCCTCTCCCCATTGGAACATCCCCTATTTCATTACCAAACTCTCCACCCCTACCCATCTGAAACTCTCCACCCCTACCCATCTGAAACTCCCCACCCCTTCCCCGGTGATAATCAACCCCCCTACCTCTTTGGAAATCAATGGCCATCCCCCTCTGAAAATCACCACCTCTTCCTCTCTGAAAATCACCTCTGCCTCTCTGAAAATCACCTCTCCCTCTCTGAAAATCACCTCTCCCTCTCTGAAAATCACCTCTGCCTCTCTGAAAATCACCTCTTCCAGCCTGAAAGTCACCTCCACCTCTGTAAAACTGTCCCCTACCTCTGTTGAACCCCCCTCGTCCACCAGGGTTATCAAACTGAGTGTTTGGGAAACTCCCTTCATTGTCAAAATCAAATCCACCGTCATAATCATCTCCTCCTGCATAATCTTGCACTTTATCTTCTTCATTGTGTTCATCACCTGGATATAGTGGACCCTCATTCATCCCTGGGCCAAAAAGGGGGCTCTCATTCATCCCTGGGCCTTGATAAAGGGGACCCTCTTTCATACCCGGGCCCCCTTGTCCAAACCTTTGACCTGGCCCTCCACGCGGATTGCTCCAGTCTCCTCTGCCTCTCCCTCTGAAATTTTCAGGAGGTGCTTGGAAGCCACGCGGGGCTCCTCGCTGATTGAAAAACCCGCGCAGTGGTCCCCTCTGAATGTCAGAACCTGCAAGCGGACCCCACTGAGGGGGACCTCCTTGTTGGTCAGCTCCTTGCTCCCAAGAATTCCAGTCACCCGGATTAGAATTCCAAGGGCCCTGATTTTGGGGTGCTTCACCGTGCCAAGCCTTATTGGGCAGTGCTTCCCCGCTTTCTATGATGCCACCTCCACCATCATCTTCTTCCTCATCCAGATTCATATCCTCTTCACCCTTGTCCCCCTCCCCGGCACCCGGCCCTCTGTTGGGCTGATGTGCCGGTGAGGGCCCTTTACCTCTAGCATCGCCGGGGCCCATCTGATTTGGCCGACCCGGCAAGTTCTGAGAATTTATATTGCCCGATCTGTTCTGAAAGTTTGATTCGGGGCCAGAGACGAGCGGTCGGGAATCAAACCCACCCTGTTCATTTATTCTTGCCGGCGGTGTATTTCCTTTATCCACGTTCAGGCCTTGGTTACCTCCTCTGTTATCTCCTTGAGTTATACCGCTGTCCCAACGAGATTTTCCTACTTTAGACTGTTCTGGTGTCTGCCAGTTTCTTTCAGTTTTGTTGTCAGTAACTTGAGGTGCGGAAGAAAAAGAAAGTTTTTCTTCTACAGCTTTTTTCTGTTGTTCAATGCTAGCTCTGCGGGCTTCCATCTGCTGTTCATAAGTCTGCCACTGCTTGAGATATTGTGTGAACTGATCTTTATTTGGATGATCTGGTTTAAAAAAATTAATTAAAAAAAATAAATTAATTTTATTTATGAAGTTCACTCACTTTGAAAACGATCACTTACTTTGAGTGCCGCCATGTTACTTTAATAGCCGTCAACTTACTTTGATTCTGTTCCCTCCAGTCATCATACTGTTGCTTCCACTGCTTGTGCTGTTCCAAAAACAACACTTGCTCTTGGTTGACTCTTTCTAATTCAGCAAGCAGTGCTGGATCTGATGGGACAACATTATGTGGTCATTTCAAGGTTATGTGTAAAAATAAACAAGATAAGAGGGGGGCGGGGGATGACCCTATTTTTTTTAATAGGCCCAAGGGATGACTGAGAAGTTTAAGAGACAGAACATTGAGGGCTTTTGGCTCAGATCAGTTCAGGGTACATTTTATAATTATCTGTTATTTAATTAGGTCCAACGGAGATTAAAATATTCAATATTTAATTTCTGAACGTCAAATGACACAGAGAGCATGCATGCGCTATTTAATTTATAATGTCCCCCAGCAAACTCATAATGACAAATCCATGATCTTTGATAGCATGAGAAAATATCAACTCAAATTAAATTACCCCCTGGTTTCAAAATACCTCGTTTTAATTTCAAAACATGAGATTACTGATGATTGAACTCATTGGATTAAAAACAAAGCCAAACAATTATCACCTGGGGGTGCTTTTTCTGGAGAAGAGGGCTCATCAGGTTCTGGTGGAGGTGCCGGAGGTGGAAAATGAGGTGGCGGAGGCTGCCCGTGACCCAATAAACCTGATGCATTACTATTTGGATAAGGTGGGCCACGGAACTGGTTATTTCCCTGGGCATACTGAGTCTGAGATAGAGATTTTGAAAATTATAACAATTATATAAATGAAATTTTCATGTTGGGTAGATACCATTTGTTCAAAAAGTTTAAATGCAGACCTGTTTACCCTCAAACTCCTAAAATCGTACAATATCGTCTCAAAATCGTACAATACGGTATCTTAATAGTAAATAAATAAATATCCAGTACATATAATACATAACGAATACAGCATCTACTGGTATAGCGTGTGTCAGTGGCATCCAGTTCAGCGGTTTGTCAAAAAATGGAACTGAAGGTAATCATCAGTATTCTACTGATGTCAACTGCAAACTGCGGTCACTTCATTTTGAAGACCTGCATCTGCTATAGATACCTCCATGTTTGTGACCTCCATGCTCCATAAACGATACATTTATTTTTATCCCACCCTTTATTTTATTTGTGTATTCCCTATTTCGAAGTGTACTTGTAAGAATTTCATCCAAGAAACCCTGGCGAAAACCTAATATGACATATGCGCCGGGAAACAAAATTATAAGAACCACTGGCGTAGCCCAACAAAATATGCGTCACACGCGCGCTGAACACTCATGACTAAACACAACTGTAACTTCTCTACTACTGTTAGCGAGTTTACTGGTGACAATACACCTTGACAACATCACCGCAATAATTCCTACAAAACATTGGGTGGTATTTTACAGCATTCGAGCTATAAATAGAATGCTATTTTTGGACTTTCAGAGTTAGGAGATGAATATTGTAGACTTTTTAAATAACGTACGTTCTTTCTGCCGAGGAACAGCTCCCCCCCCCCAACCTGTCATTACGGAAATGTCGCGGTGTTGATTGTATAGATTTAAGTCTTTAGACCCACGCCAAACCAAAAATTTCCTAAATCAACACCACTCCTTTTGTCCCTGATAGATTGCTAATGAAAAGTCCGACTTGCAGATTGTGTAATTGTGCAGTGCGCACATGATGAACCATTCGACAAAGAACGCAACTCAGTCAATTTAGTCTGATATTCAAGCAAAATTATCTGCTGATAAACTTTCTTTTTCTGTTGTTGAATCGGATGTTTATCGGTAGAAAGAGAAGTTTCTTCTTCATCGCCCATTCCGCGAGCCTTTCTTTTTGTCGGGGTCATATCGTAAAATACTAAGTGAGGTCAACTACAGAACCGAAAACAAGAATGATGGCCGATTCCATTAATGATAATGGTAACATTAAAATCACGCAATGTGCACATAGGTCAATGCAGCCAAATTCTAGCGCCAGAGCTGTTTGGACAGCCCATATATAACATTTAAAATAAAAATGAAAAAGTGAACAATGATGCATACCTCGCCCCCCAGCCGCACGCCCTGCCAACTTAAAGGGCCATCCAAATATGACTTACTCGCTGAGGATGCGTGTAAGTAGGGGGGGGGGGGGGGGGGGGCGGGCTCCAGAATGCACCTACATGTATGCATAAATTCTACAATAATTATCCCGATTCCTGATAGTCTCTTATAGAGCCAACTGTCACATGAAAATCTGTGAAATCCACGAATTCTAATTAGGTCTATTATTATTATTAAGGCTCTACAAATATCACCACAATGCTTCGCATTTATCGTATACCGTATACTAGTGCTTTGTGTTTTCATAAAGAGGTCGCTGTAGTAGACATATTGAACACGACATAGTGACAACACACTGTAAGTCCACTAACACGTATTTCCGTGCTGGTGACGAACCCACCTTCCCCCACCCTCATTAATAGGAAAAAAAAACATAGTGCCCTCGCATATCCAATATGCCCCTGAGTTTTTACGTTCACATACTAAAGAGCAGTGGTCAGCATACTCATTGGTCAAAAGAGCCCAAATCAGCAGCAGGACCATTAAACAAATTTAGAGAGCCAAATTATTTTCAAGAACCTGTCAAGGACCATGTTTTTCGGAGTAAAAACCGCTTTGTAGTTGACTGGCCGAGCCGCAGTCTGGACGAGCCGCGGCTTGCCGACCACTGCTATAGTATCAGAGACTAGTAA